GTACCTTAATTACCATAAATAAGTACATTGATTTTCTCTATCGCCCTCAATAATTTTTTTGTACTTATATTGGCCTCAACCATTTTTTGATTACTCTATCGCCACTACAAGTTCTTGTGTTGATTTCTATATCGCCACTACAAGTTCTTGTGTTGATTTCTATATCGCCACAATAAGTACTTTTGTTGATTTCTTTATCGCCACAATAACTTCTTTTGTTGATTTTTCCATCACCACAACAAGTACTTTTGTTGATTTCTCTATCATCATAATATGTACTTTGGTTGACTTCTCTTTGGCATCGTGTAATTTAATTTGTCTTTTTGTGACAGTATAATAAGATAGCGAGTATGATTGTACTCTCTTAACCGCCGTGGATGCGAATCACCCTCAAGATAAGAAATGTCTGTTGCTACGGCAAGTATTTCCGGTAATAGGCCCGATGTGGGCTCTCACCGTTTTCTGGTTTCGATTCAAAACGTAAATAATGTTAAATAGACGGATGTGAGACCTCGGTTTCAGAAACGTGAATTCTACCGCTAAGCTTATCAGTAATAATGTTCATAGCTTACCGCAGAAAAGATCCTTCAAATTGTTAGTCATTGTTAGTGGTTGATAGTCATTGTTTACATTGGTTGTCAATGTTAGTGGTTGACATTGTACGCCATTATTATAATGTTAAGTTTTGTGATATGTTAGCAATTCACAATTTTGTTTTGTAAAACGGTTGTTTGTAATGTGTTAATATTTGTTGTAATTTGCAACTTATTATTTAGTGTTACACAAGATTTGTTTATGAAAAGAAAATGGGGGATCAACTGTCGATAAATAATTGACTTATTAGTTTTACTGCTCGCTGTGATTTCTTCCCTCATTGATCTTTTATCGATTTTGTCACTTACCTTAATTATAATTGTTATCTCTGTTTACCAGTCTCTTTGCATAAGCAGTAAATACACCATAAATCATCTGAATATTGTAGTCGTGAATAACAAGTCTTCTGTCTTACGATTAGTCACCATCGTGATAAATCAGCTAATTATTCACATTATAAGCGAGTACTGGGGATTTTCAGATTAACGCTAATGGCAATAAATTTCGAAATGAATTCGTGGAGAGATTATTTAGATATTATTGAAGCCAATGGCAGAAAGGTAAAACTGTAAATTTTCCGTCAATGTTTCCAAATACAAATAACTTTTTCTTCTACTTATATAACATTGTCTTTTTTCTAATTCCAACCCTTACATCAGAGATCTTTATCTGTACAGTAACTTTCAAACTCACTTGATGTTTCATTTGAAAGAAATGTAAAAGATATTGTGAAAAGCCTTATCATCTGAAGCAGAACAAAAAGATTTTACGATGATTTGTGACTATTGACCACACAGTTTTTATTGCATTTTTACAGCCTATTTGGCATATTTGAATCTTCATATTAAGCTATATATTGTATTTACATAGAGGTATTAGCAAGATATGTGTAGATGGGTTTGTAATACCAAGAGTAGAATATAAATAATTTTAAAAAAGATTTTAATATTCAGAAAGTTTACTGAAAGAATTTTACTATTTTTACTGATTTACGCTCATCTTGATTTAGTCACAGAACGTAGTGTAAATTAAATGGTCTACTACGACACGTTTATTCAAACTTACTGGGATAGAACTTGGGATATATTGTGTACTTTATATCAATATCATGATAGATTATCAAGATTATTCAGCCGGCCTTAAACTGATTTGATCACTTTCCAATGGTAGACTTATAAAGTATTCTCTTGTTTGAAGCTGATAAACAAACAAACGAGAAACTGACTTGAAAAGGGCCATTAATAAATGAAACCTGTACTAAGAGACAAAGTCAATATCATCCATTACAAAATCATATAAATTGTCACAGAAACTGGCCAACCAATAGACAAACCGTTGGTCCAAATCTCTTCAAAAATATAAAATTAACATTATCTGCTTGCTGTATCTTATCTTCTGGAATCATAATATTTATTTTAGACCTCCACTGTTTTCTTTAGATCTAGCTCTGCAAGTTTAATATTTTGACTCCCATTGAAAACACAGCAGTGGACTGGTAGAAATACCTTTGCATTAAAGTTATATCAATTGTTAGGTATACCTTGGTATTCAAGTCATATCAGTACTTGGTAGACATAACTTTGTATTTAAGTCATACCAGTGCTTGGTAGACATAACTTTGTATTTAAGTCATACCAGTGCTTGGTAGACATAACTTTGTATTTAAGTCATACCAGTGCTTGGTAGACATAACTTTGTATTTAAGTCATACCAGTACTTGGTAGACATAACTTTGTATTTAAGTCATACCAGTACTTGGTAGACATAATTTTGTATTTAAGTTATACCAGTGCTTGGTAGACATAGCTGTGTATTTAAGTCATACCAGTGCTTGGTAGACACAAAATAACTTTGTATTTAAGTCATTCAAGTGCTTGGTAGACACAACTTTGTATTTAAGTCATACCAGTGCTTGGTAGACATAACTTTGTATTTAAGTCATACCAGTACTTGGTAGACATAACTTTGTATTTAAGTCATACCAGTGCTTGGTAGACATAACTTTGTATTCAAGTCATACCAGTGCTTGGTAGACATAACTTTGTATTTAAGTCATACCAGTACTTGGTAGACATAACTTTGTATTTAAGTCATACCAGTACTTGGTAGACATAACTTTGTATTTAAGTTATACCAGTGCTTGGTAGACATAGCTGTGTATTTAAGTCATACCAGTGCTTGGTAGACACAAAATAACTTTGTATTTAAGTCATTCCAGTGCTTGGTAGACACAACTTTGTATTTAAGTCATACCAGTGCTTGGTAGACATAACTTTGTATTTAAGTCATACCAGTACTTGGTAGACATAACTTTGTATTTAAGTCATACCAGTGCTTGGTAGACATAACTTTGTATTTAAGTCATACCAGTGCTTGGTAGATATAACTTTGTATTTAAGTCATACCAGTACTTGGTAGACATAACTTTGTATTTAAGTCATACAAGTGCTTGGTAGACATAACTTTGTATTTAAGTCATACCAGTACTTGGTAGACATAACTTTGTATTTAAGTCATACCGGTACTTGGTAGACATAACTTTGTATTTAAGTCATACCAGTACTTGGTAGACATAACTTTGTATTCAAGTCATACCAGTACTTGGTAGACATAACTTTGTATTTAAGTCATACCAGTACTTGGTAGACATAACTTTGTATTTAAGTCATACCAGTACTTGGTAGACATAACTTTGTATTCAAGCCATATCAGCACTTGGTAGAAATAACGTTGTATTCAAGTCATACCAGTGCTTGGTAGATATAACTTTGTATTTAAGTCATACCAGTACTTGGTAGATATAACTTTGTATTTAAGTCATACCAGTACTTGGTAGATATAACTTTGTATTTAAGTCATACCAGTGCTTGGTATATATAACTTTGTATTTAAGTCATACCAGTACTTGGTAGACATAACTTTGTATTTGTATTTAAGTCATACCAGTACTTGGTAGACATAACTTTGTATTCAAGTCATATCAGCACTTGGTAGAAATAACGTTGTATTCAAGTCATACCAGTGCTTGTTATTCAGCTGGAAATCTTTACATCTTTATGTGACAGATCGTTCCAAGAGATTTTCGACTCAGATTTGGCAAATTCTAGCCGATGTGGCACATTTTTATGATCGGTGTCTGGTCAGATCGAGGCCATTGGGGGTATTGGCAAAAGAAAGTGAAAGGAAAATCAAAAGTTTTACAATTAGAATGTCTCACCAAAGTTGTCCTTTCCGGTTTAAACTTACTGGCTTCACAAGCTCTCTGTACTAATTGTCGGATTCCTCAATTATAGTTACCATCTGCTGTATGAAAATAATAATAGAGACTATTGTTATATTGTATTAGTTATCGAATTTATAAGTTGGAGAATTCAATTAAAGTCTGAAAATAAGTCTAGTAATTACATTGTTATTGTTTTTGTCTAGGTTTCGTCTTAAATATCAATGAGTGATGTTCGTCTAATATATTTTTTCAGAATTGATATACATTTTTTTTACTGAAATTAATATATCTCTGTTACAAATAAATTAATTAAAGAAAACGTTCTATTTAATGTTATGCTGACTTTTGGTTAATTTACTGTCTGGTGTTTTGAGAATAGAAATATAAGAAATTATGGTCAAATTAAATTGAAAATTCTACTGTATTTTTAAACTGTGAACATTCAGATGAGTATTTAAGTAATGGTCGTATAGTATCTTATTTATAAAACTCAGTTATTAAAACTGGAGGCAAAATACTATTGTAAAACATTAGACCTCACAAAGAGAAAAGTGACAGGAACCTATTCAAATCGCAATTCATAGGGGAACTTGTTGGCAATGGGACAAAATACGTAAGGTTAACATGCTCTGAGTACAATATCAGTCCTGGATCATTGAAACCGTGTTGGCAAGTTTACAATGCAGGTACAAAAGAATACAATTCGCAACCTGTTACGATGTATTCAGTGATTGTCCTCTTTGAGCATTCATGCTAAAACTAAAAATGAAATATTACACCCCACATTTCTGAATCATGATTGGGCCAGTGAAGGCAGGACAGCGGTATTATATTAGTAGATGGATCTTTGACGTGCACAGTCTGTTGCACACTGGGGGCCCTTCCGAGCGTAAAGATGATTTTACGTCAGACCCTCTTACCTACAACACTGACAATGGGAAGCCGGATCAAAAAATTCACTGGTTCTACTTGAAGAATTATGATAGGCATTATATGCTTTTCTTTTGGTAGAATACATAATGTACCTGAAGATCTTCTTTTGAATACCAGACCATTATCAGAGACAATCCTGTCTGTAAGGTGTGGTTAATCTGATTCAAATATAAATACATTTATCTCAATCATGACCTTATACAAAATGTTAATATGTATATTTATCAGATAATACTCTCTATAATTTCAGGGTTTGGAATGACAACACCTCGGACTGTTGGTGGAAAAATTGTTCTTATATTTTATGGATTTTTCGGATGTGCCGGTGCTATTTTGTTTTTTAACTTGTTTTTGGAGAGAATAATCACGTTTTTAGCCTATATATTACGTGCTATACATATCAGAGACCTTAAACGTAAAGGATTAATCACAGAAAACAAGAAAGAAAAGGGGAGACGATCCAGCCAAACTTCAGATGATGAACTAGATGCCTGGAAACCATCGGTATATTGGGTGATGCTTATTCTTCTATTAGGTGCCCTAGTTGTCGCATTGTGTGCTTCAGCTATGTATCAGCCGGTAGAAGATTGGACATACTTTGAAGCTATATATTTCTGTTTTGTGACATTTGCCACCATCGGATTTGGTGACCTGGTTGTTAGTCAAAAAGAATCCTATCCCAACGTCCATTTATATAGATTTGCTAATTTTATATTTATAGTAATTGGATGTTGTTGTATCTATAGTTTATTTAATGTGACATCAATAGTTATCAAACAAGTGTTAAATTGGATTTTAAGGCGACTAGAATGTCGCTGTAGAGTTAGAGTACCAAATCCAGGTCGGCGTAATGCTATAACTCCAGGACATTTAACCAAGGGAGGTAAACCACCTTCAGTCACAGTGACTGACGTGGACGGTGATAGCGATTCTGAATATCGGCGGAATTCAGGTGAAATGATTAGCATGAAAGACTTTTTACAAGCAAATAAAATATCTTTAGCCATGATGCAAAAGGAATTGTATGAAACCTCACAAAGGGGTCACTCACACAAGAGACAAAATGGGCTTCAAGGAGGAGTTGGACCTATGGCGATTCTCAATCGCAAGTTAGGCCAGGATGATCATTTTGATTCACGTGTATAGTGTTTATTGACTTCTGTTGCCATAGTGATAAATGGCAGTGGATAAGCTGAACATGTTCTATTATCTAAGTCTGTGATGATCTCTATATATTTTTAACGGTGTTTATGGTTTGTATATTGTATATAATATGCTGGTATATGATATTCTATATTGCGTAATACTTAGTTAATCTTTCAGAGAATTCGAATTTCACAAAGGAACAATTTTATCGTTGAGCTTTCCTTTGAATATACAATGGAAATGTTATGCAATACGCAATAAATCATGAATGGTTTTTGATGCTTCATTTTTATCCCAATTCAGTAAATTATCTGACTATTAAGTTCGAACAAAGAGAAAGAAAAAAATGTCTTTTGTCGAGACAATCCATAACTGTCAGAAATTACCTAGTAAAACCCAGCAGATAGATTGCTAACAATGGCTACTTATTTGAAAAATGAGTCGCGTGTATCAAAAATTACGTCACTTCCTTTTAAATCTATCTACTGGTATTGTTCTCACATGACACCAAGATCATTAAATGTTTAAAATATATTCAAAGAAATAATATCTGACGTCAGGTAATAGTTTTATGTCATGAAATGATAAATACAAGTGAATTTAATAACCCTTTAATTCGTGTAGCTATAAATTTCAAGCTGGGCTTGTTTTTCTATTCTTCTGTAATGTTGACTCGTGCTGCAAGCTATACATGTATTTTAAACTGTATTTTAACAATGGTGAACAAAATAATGCTGACAAAAACTTAGAATCTTAGAATTTTAGTCGGGTAAAATAGTTGAAAATCGTTATAATTTTTTTAAAATTGTCTTTCTTTTCTAATAGTATGTGTGAAAAATTTGTAAATTGAATATGCATATATATATATCTTGTACAAAACTTTATTGTTATGGAAGCATATAGAGGGCACATGGTAGTCGTAATATTTTATTTTGAGGCCACTACAAAATTTCCTATTATGAATTATTGTATGTACATTATTCATTTTAATCTATTTTAAGAAAGGTGTAGCTTCGGGCACTGTGCAATCTCATGCATTTTTTAAGCCAACCCTGTTCTCCAACTGCTAGGAATAACATATGTCAAATTATGTGCAGGCATACGTCATTTCAATGGACTATATTATGTCGCGTATGTATAATATACAATATGACATACTATTTTTAATTCACTAATTATGTATTTAGGCTTTTCACTGAATGGATGGTTATTAGTGACCACTTTTTACAATAAAACATTAACAATATGTAATATATGAATTATTCATTGTCATAACTGTCCCTGTACATCATTAGCGCCTGCTATTTAACCCTGAGAAATCAGAGTGATTTACAGCAGTACCGTTAGATTTGTTTCATAATAAAAAAAACTATTGTCACATTGAAATATTTGGCAGATGTTGAGCTTGTTTATATCTAATTCTAGATGAGCTCTGGGCGCATTAAGCTAATGAATTCGGAGTTTAAAATGACGAGGAAGAATCATATGTATTATATACGTGTGTGTCACATTAAAGTTCGTTTTTTCTGATGGTTGGCTACAACACTTGCCATCCTTGATCTAAAGAAATTCATTTGTAAATTATGTTCCGGTAAATTTTGACTCGATTGGGTCATGACCAATTACAATATTTCTGTTGAAAGTTGAAACAATAAATACCGCAAAATTTATTGAGTGGAGCATTCAGTGATATGAATGTTCTGTATTCACCTCGCCCAAAGACGTAGTCAACGAGTTAAGGCGCTATTTTATTTTCGCACAGTCTGAAGATATATTTCGTTCCAGGAATTTGCATATCAAAAGAAATTGACAAAATTAAAACATCACTATCACAATGTTTTATTTGGTTTCGTTGGTTCCCGGTTTAGGAATATCGAAGGGAAATAGGCGACTGTAAGTCATTATAATCCTCACTTGAAAAAAAAAAGGTCAAGACTAAGGTCAAAATCAACAAGTCCAATAATTAACTTATTCAATTATTTTTTTTAAAGAATAAGGTTATTCTTATAATTCATGCCACACCCTTTATACATCCAGAAAAAATGGTTAAAATGTTATATCAGGTCATGTAAGTCATATAACGTGTTACATAACTTTAAATGTTACACTGTTATTTTTCTGTTGACACCTATTGCATATATATTGGTCTCAATTGGACAACTTTTCTCCATCCCTCATAACACAATTGAAGGTTGGTAGTGGCATATCTTCATTGGAAATTCGAGGAGAGAGGTCAATACGTAATTTTAAAACAATTGAAAAGCTAAATGTCGTGGCTTCTACGTCCACACTTTCATAAAATTTACGCAACCATGACTATGAAATGTTGTTCACCTGCCTAAATTTCAGAAGGCTGATATTCATGGCTTCATTCTATTTGTTAGAAAGAGAGTGTGTTGGAGGGGTCGGGTGATACCCCTGAACCCAACAATCTTTTTCTGTATTTTAAAATGAAAAAAATTAAATTGTTCCCCCTGCAAATCTTTCAAGGGTATATTTTAATATTTTAATTTTTGTCATATTAAACTATGTAGCATCTAACAAGTTGAATCCAAACTTCTTTAAAAAACATTACAGTATAATGATTCTAGGATGAAAACCTAACGCTATCACGTAGTTGCAGGAATATATCAAAAGACCTCTTTTTCTATTTATTGACACAATCCTTCCATTCATCAAAGCATTCTCTCTGACTGATTTCCTTTGCGTCAATCAAAGACACTTTTTATTATTTGAATTCCTTGCATACAATTGGTTCTTAATAAACCAATCAATAACTATTTCCGTTATCAGTCCTGGAAACCGGAAGCTCCGCGAAACCTTTAAAGTGTTTTCCGTCTTTTCAAAGTTAAGAAATACTCAAGTGAGTATAGCAATGGTATTTTGGTATTTTGAACTTCAATTCCAACTACTTCAATAAAGTGGGCGACTAGACCAATTGAGGTGCTCTTACAGCCATTCTAGAGGCTAAATAAGAGAACTACGTGTTCCTCTGACAGATTAATAGGTTGCGATTCGTGATAGGTTGAAAGCAGTGAATATTTTCTTCATATCTTATTACATCAAAAAGATGGTCTTACAAATGAATTTAATTGAGAGTTATACGACCTACTTTTTTCAACCTTTAATTTGTAACAAGTTCAATTAAGCACAATATTCATACACGTAAGATAGTAATTGTGGACCACAATCCCAATCCTATGTTACCCTGCTTTGTCAATCTTTGGCGACTTCAGGGGTTACAAATAGAGGGCCTTCTATGTACCCCAACTGGCGCAGTCACTGTCCCCAAATACAGGCGAGTGTTTTTTCATCATCTACAGTTGAAACTTCACATCAATGCATAGGCTTTCATAACAACCAATCAAATATAAGTTTAAAACTAAGCACAAGCTCCAATTTCGTGTTACAGTCTTCTATCCATTACTCCGCGTTAGATAGGTGCTGGTATTTCGATAGCTTCACGTCTGCGGATGACAACTTGTATACTACCTTTTGTAGATAATGTAGAAGATAATGCCTTGGGACATGGACAATGACATATTCTGGTAAAGGATCCAGTAAATAACAGAGTTGGCCGAACCTATATTATTGTTTAGAAATTGCAGGCCTGTTGTAGAGTATGATTGGTCACAAGCAAAATTAATAGAGTTCATTTGAACTTTTCATTCAATGAAATGTTGTCAAGGTATCCGCGATGCTGTCGTCACGCCGGAAAGGCGTTTTTGCTGCGTTGCTACTGCCACGGACAAATCATCTCGGAGTGTTAAAGTCTCTATGAGTGTGGTATAAGCAGGCAATGAAAAATTGTCGCAATGGTTGCCACTATTCGCCGAATCATGCATTGTTGATTTTGGAACGCGTTAAGAACGCCATTGGCTATTGACAAACGTTGTAACATCTTTTGAGTGGTATGAAAGCGCAATACACGCTAGGCAAAGACTCCGCAAAAATGTCAGAACGCAACTTGTTCACAGGACTCGCGGTATGAGGTCGACTGCTTTTAAATTTGTAATTTTTATGGACTTTTTCTATGCTTTTCGTCACGTTTAACTACGACCTGGTACATTTCCAGTCGTAAAATAGTAAATGGTTGCAGTCTGGTGTGACGGGGCTATGATCAATTTTCCGATGAGCCTTCCATAACTTAACCACGCGCTTATTCAAGTCTCTTGCATTTATTCTGTTATTGATTCAGAATATCTTGACCCCTTGTTCAAAGAAATAAATTAATCCCGTCATATAGGGAAAGCATTCTTTCTGCGCTGCTACAACTAGTAGCTCATAGCGTGTTAACATCGCCATTATCGTGGCGTGACGTGTAGGAAACGCAAACTTCGTTCGATGGTCACTATTATCGCCGATGATTGCCCCGAAGGAAGGTATTTGTTTGGGAATGTTCAAAACAAAAGCCAAGGTTCGGTTATTTGTTCTGGAACGTACTGACAACACAATGGAATCGAGAAAGATGCCCTTTTACCTCCTACAACGACGTAAAATTGGCCCATAGCTTGTTAAAATCACCATAAGCGTGATATGACGGTGTAGTAAATACAAATGTCGTTCGGTGGTGAAGTTCAAAACAAACGCACTGCCAACGCAATGGAATCAAGAAGGTGTTATACAAGCGCCATAGCATCTCATGAAAGCGATGAAAGCGCAGTAGATTCGTAGCAAAGATGTTGCGAAAACAGTTACTTGCAACGACGAGTTCATAGCGTCCTAACCATGACTTTTCTACGCCTTCGGTGTCGTTTTGACCTTCTTAGGGGCCTCAAAATGCGCACGTTGCGCTCCCATTGAGTTTCCACTGCGTTTATTGATTCAACTATATGGCACGATTTATTTGCATCATGATCCTATGATAAGAGGTCGGCTAGTAAGAACCCAATAAGAATCGTGGTTGGAATTCTAACAAATTGCGTTGGACTCCCGTAACAAGCCCATGGTTATCAAAAGAAACGCACTGAGTGCGTAACAGTCTTTGGTGCACCGACCCT